CGTTATTACTGAGACTGATTTTTCCGTACATAGCGATAGAATAACGGAACGATATCCACAGTACTGTTGTTTATATCTACCGGCAATTTTAAAATATGTCCTGTGTATTAGCAAGAATTGAAATTATTGATAATATAAAAATAGTCTTGATATCTTATATATTTTGTTATTATATATATCACTGTTATTATATATATCACAAGTTTATAACACACGGCTGACACGGTTTTATCGACTTTGTTGCTCGTTCGTTTTTACTGGTCGTTTGGTTGAACTTCAATAATAAGATGCGGCAAAATGTATTTTGCGCTGGAAGTGCGTCATCTAAGTAACATTTTTAACCAATAGTAATGAATTGCTGCGACTGCACACTGCGCATGAAATGGCACTTACTCACCGTCCATATATTCCTACGTCAATGGTGCTTACTTCGTATAAGCGGCTGTCATTTGTGCATTTTGACAGTTGTGTGTATTGAGGTTGATGTGTAATTGAGTTTGTGTGAATGCGAGTGACAAGTTGGAAAATTAAGAGTTCATTGATGCGTCGTATACATATATATCTTCATCCAACGTCTGTTTATTTTTAATTGAAAATAACACGCAAAATTACTTATTAATTAGAACAATTAAATTACATAATTTTAAGAAATTACGCATAGTTTTCTTTCCAAAATTCACTTTCAGTGTTAGAAATCTATAATGCACGTAACGTAAGCTATAGCTAGATTTTCAATACTGGCAGTGAATTTTAGAACATATATAGCTGAGCATGCTTGAAATAATTTTATATCGTTCAAATTTACCACGTAACGATGACGTATTCTTGGTGACAATTTGATTGGCGTTCAACATGCGGTATCAATATACGCAAGAGCATACCCTTGTATTTCTACCATGCTGGCATGCTATATTCTCATTTCTCTCTCTCTCTCTCTCTCTCCCCACGTGCTCTTGTGCACCCCATAGATTGTAAGCTAAGCGAAGTGCGAACTCGTTAAATTTTTACGTAAGCAATTTTTCTTCGTTACTGTGAAAACACGAATATTCAAGATGAATCGTTTTATGAAAATTCTCAAGAGTAAAGAAACCCGCGATTATTTTTTGAGGCAAGTAAGATGATTATGTCGTTTATACTACTGAACTCTCGCTACTTGGTTAGATCGGTGCATGTCAATGTACATATCATCAGTGAAATATTACGCGAACGATACGGTAATATATTTTTTTCAGCACACACTTTTGGGGTCCTGTTGCCAATTGGGCGATACCGATTGCTGCCATTTCCGATATCCAGAGGGATCCCAAGTATATTAGTGGTAAAATGACCTTTGGTTAGTTCAATTATTCTTATGCATTGCATTTTGTCCATGAGTTTTGATGAAGGATTCGATTTACTTCCTCATTGGCCGGTTTACCCCTGCTCGAGAGCAGGAGTCACACGAAAAAAAGAAATTTCCTCTTTTTACTCGTCCAATTCGCATTAATAATTCTTATTAATTTGTTAAGTTTTAGCAAACATATAGTTAAGCTACTTTCTGTTGCATATAAAATTTTCTAATACACATATTTATATTTATTTTATTTGTATTTATGCTAGTAAAAGATTTAATAAAAATTGGTAAAATTTGGCCATTGATATTTATATTATATAATATTGTTAGTTATGTTTTTTTAATTTACATGTCTTGTATTCAACTATACATATAGAGTAAAAAATAAAGATCCACTGTAAATCTTTACATTATTGCAGGATTTATAAAAATAATATATGAGAGTGGTTTTTGAAAATTGCATAACTGTAACTCATTTATTTATTATATTTATTGATGTCAATTTTCAAGATTCTATCGAGTTTTTATCTTTTTCAGCCTTATGCTTATATTCAGCAATGTTTATGAGATTTGCAATCAAGGTGCAGCCACGCAACATGCTTCTGTTTGCCTGCCACTTTGTCAATGAAGGTGCACAGATTACTCAAGGTTGTAGATTTATTAAGCATCATTATTTTAGTAAAAAGGAGCAGTAAATCGAAAGATATATGTAATATTGATTTTACCAAAGGGTTTTATATTGATATATATAAAAATCATATTATATAAAATACATATTTGTTAAACATATAAGTATAATATATATAAGCAAAAATTGTCTTTTGAGGAATATATCACGAACTAATAAAGTTAATGTGTTATCAACTTCTCCCTCCACTAATTTTTTAATTTAAAAATAACGGGAGAAACTATTGTTAATTAAAAGATATAATTTTCTTTTTATATCTTGTACAGTTGAATTTTCTTGGAAAAAATATCAAATATGTTGGCAGTAAATTACAAATTAAAATCTTATTAAAATAAACTGTAGTTTAATAAAATTAAATTGGTATAAACTTACATAAGATATATATATATATATATATATATATATATATTTTCATNTAAAAAAAAATNTTAAAGTNTAAATAAAAAAAATCTACAGTTATATTGTTATCGAATCTTGATATTGATTTGTATTACAGATAATAGAAATAATCTTAAGATATAATTTGTTAATACATTTTGTAA